AATTGTAATGAATGAGTCATTGACAAGTTTTTGCTAAACTTGATAACTTTCTGAGTAGGTCATTCAATGGTTTGAAGCAGGAAAACCACTCAAACATACGGGACAGTGGGCTATGAGAACCAGGGTTGGGGCGATTGATGCTCTCTGCCCTCTGGCAGGCCTTTTCACAGTCAGTGCGTGGCTACTAAAAGCAGAACCTCCATAAGTTTTGTTATGTTCTGGAGACTTGGACGCCTTCTGGCCACCTTGGTGTGATTTCAGATTGGGCCAAGGCATGGTGAGGGGTCCAAGCCAGCCCACCCCGTAGCGCCTTTTTGCTATGAAGCGAGGTAGTAACAGAGGCAAAACGTTCAACGTGTGAAAAAGTGAGCTGGTGCCATGTGTCAGTACCTTGATGAAGTGATGACATCTGATCTGTTCAACCACCGCTCGTAGGGATGATCGATGAAGATGCGTAGCAATTATTTATTTAATTGTTTTGTTGTTGTTTGTTTGTTTGTTAGCCACAAAGTTTTGCTCTATTGAGTTAATTCATCATGTTTTGATAAAGGTTACTACGTAGACATCCATCACACATTTCATGCGCTTTGCTCCATGTCAGTGCAGCTGAGTTATTCTCCACGCCTCCTTTGGTTCTGCGACGCTCGCTTGATTTATGAAAGCTCACGTCAGCTCCATTTGTGATTTAAGAAGGTTTAGAACCAGCATAAAGATGGACTGGTCTGTGGATGGATATTTTTTTAATGGGTGCTGGGTGAACTACAACATGACTTCATAAAACATTTTCTTGAACCAGAACTCGCAAAACTTCCTTCAATCCTTCACAATAAGAGTCTCAAACATTGTTGACTTCAAAATACTCTGGAAAGAGCAAGAATGTACTTAAAGGGGCGGTTTAGACATTTTTAAATTCTGTCTCAAAAATTATCAGTACTTGTATCATACAGAAGTCAAGCTAATGGCTAGCTAGACTGGAGCCTCTTAAAATGTTTTTTAGGTCAATAATTATTTTAGGAAAATTAAGCAAGTTGTGCTCAAAAATATCCTACAGTTGTAAAAGAAAAAGTTAAACTTCCACACTTTTACATAAGACCTAGTTTGTAAATGTTTATGGCAAGGCATCGGGAATGTGGGCTTTTCCACCTATTTTTTTATTTTTATCTCAAAACAACTTTATTTGTGAAATATGATTGTTTTTCTACATTTAGATTTTTCTTATTTCCTATTTTTCTTATAGTCTAGGTGGCGTTTGCATGTTCTATCCATGCATGCATGAGTTTACTCCGGTTTCCTCCCACAGACTAAAAACATGCATGTTAGACTGATTCAGGTTTTCAGGTCTCTCTTGTAAATGAGTCCTCGAGGCTCAATGGGATTTACCTGTTTAAATAAAGGTTGAATGAATGATTGGTAACTCTAAATTGTCTCTAGGTGTGAGTGAGAAAGTGAATGGTTGTTTGTCTCCATATGTCCCTGTGATGGACTGGAGACCTGTCCAGAGTGTCCCCCGCCTCTCACACAGTGATTGTTGTAAATCGGCACCAGTGACCCTAAAGGAAGAAGCAGGTAAAAAATAATGGATGGATGGAAGTACAAATGATATAATACGACACCAATTAGTCACATGTGACTTAAATAAAGATCATTCTCTCTGGTTTCCTCCCATAGTCTGAAAATGTGCACGTTAGGTTAATTCTAAACTGACCTTAGATGTGAGTGTGTGTGTTGTGGCAACTTTCATAGATTAAAAAAAGCCCTGGTGTCAGACAGAGCTGTGCACCTTGTAAACTGTCCGTCACACATTCTAGTTATTTCCTTTGGAGGTTTTACAAGCTGGTCTTTGTTTTTGTTTGTGGACTTTCCTTGTTTATTTTTAACCTCGTTCTGCGTATTCTAGGAACATGGATGCGTATCACTTCCCATTGACTGCGGCTTGTAAAAGCTGTGACTTACGACCGGGGAGTGAAGGAAGGATTCTCTGAAATGTAACGGTTCGAAGCAGAGCACGAAGGGTCGAGTCTTTTAATGGGAATTACACTTTAACAGTCTTGGCTGTAAAGACTCAACTTCTATAAATAGGTTGGCACTCAATCTTAAAAACAATGAAAAACAAAACACGTTTTTTGTTGATTTAATGAGAAACACATTTTAGAAATTATATGCGAAACATTTCATTATTTTAAGGAACCATTGGCAACTTGTGACTATTTCATTTTTGATAGCTTCAGTGCTTTCCACTAAGCTTTTCTTTTGGTGAGAGCGAAGAGTTTTTGCGATGTCACAATGGACTATTTTATTAAGTCAACATGCATATGAGCAAATAGTTAGTTTTGTCTGATTTAATTATTTACATTTTTTGTCCACCTTTGGGACGGTGAGACCTAAAGTTAGATCTTTTAGGTCTTTATGCTTCAAACATCTCTGTACTTAACCATTAGAATAGCTAGTCTAAAGTTTGGGTTCTGTTTTAAATAATTAATTTTTAAATTATTTTTAAATCTTTAGGGACAAAATAGGGTAAGGTAGTTCAGGATATTTGAAGTGAGGTTTGGAAAGAGTTTAAATCTGACCAGACTGATGCGCTAATGGTTAGAAAAAGCCATTAGCGCATCAATCTGGTTAAAATAAACTTATTTTTTCCTACTGAGTTTGCTCAAATCATTGTTTCCCTACCATTATACAAGCAGGGTGCCCCGCCCTGTCAACAAAACAAAGCACCCTGCCTACCGACTGCTCCCCGCCCCCGATTCCCCCAAGTTGACAACTGCCAGCACTGATGTAGCGCTAAGCTAACGGTGTGCAATACAGACGCACCGTTACTGCTTGATCTGTTACGGAAGCACGATCCCGTACTGTAGCTCATTTGCACATGCGCTAAAAGGAATACTTCCGGGTTGCATGGATCACCGTTGAATATGCTAGATTAAGGAAAAGTAACTGGAAATAATTACATGATATTTATAAAATATATTTATGAAACATACAATGTTTATTAATATTAATTAAAATATCTCTTTCTATAAGTTGATTAATTTTCCTAGACAATGTTATAATTCCATTTATGAATAAGAACTGTTTTAATTTACTTTGAAAAGTACGATCTTCACGTTGCTCATTTACGTCACTCATATCATTGACATATTTACGTCATGGTTAAAATGATATGCAGCTTCACCACTGAGGGGCGCTGTTTCACCATGGAAATAATTCATTCTGTATCTTGCAGGGGTTTTCTCATACAGCCCAGGCTGGGGGTCAGGTCTAATGCGTCGCATATCATCTTAACCGAAGACGTAAATATGCCAATGATTTTAATGGAAATACGAGTGGCGTAAATCAGCAACATGAAGATCGGCGGAGATAGAGCACGTACTTTTCTAAGTAAATTAAGGCAGTTCTTATTCATAAACAACGGCGAACCGTGCGACCCGGAAGTATGTTTTCATTCAGCCTTTATTTAGACAGGTAAATCCCATTGAGCCCCGAGGACTCATTTACAAGAGAGACCTGATTTCAACAAAGAATGATGACAACAATGGACAACAGCGACCGGGAAGTATTCCTTTTGGCGCATGTGCAAATGAGCTGACGGTACGGATCGTGCTTCCGTAACTGGTCGGGCAGTGACACGCACTAAGGCTACAGCGCTCAGTTTCCCTTACGCTGAGCCGTCTTAACCCCCCCACACGAAAACTGTTGGTACAAACAGCGTGCGCATCACAGACGTATCTCAGTCTCTCCCTCCACCCCTGCTCCCGACAAATATCACGGAAGATACGAGTGCCCAGTGCCAAGGCAAGTAAACTGGGGAAAACACTGGAAGTTGTTTATTATTTTAGATAATTTGACAAAAGGATTTATAGTACTGTACACATTGTGCAGTCAGTTGGTAGAGCTGTTGCGACTTAGTATAAAGGTCGCTGGATCAAATCCCAGCCATGGACCTTTCTGGGTGGAGTTTGCATGTTCTCTCCTTCATGCGTGGGTCTTCTCCTGGTACCCCGGTTTCCTCCCACAGACCTAAAACATGTATGTTAGGCTGACTGGTAACGCTAAATTGTCCCTAGGTGTGAGTGAGAGAGTGAATGGTTGTTTGTCTCATTTGTCTCTATGTGTCCGTGTGATGAACTGGAGACCTGTCCAGGGTGTCCCCTGCCTCTCGCACAGTGACAGCTGGATATGAGCACCAGTGACCCTCACGACCCAACAAGGAAGAAGCGGATAAAGACGATGATGGATTAATAGTGCAAGTTGGTTTTCTATCATGCAGTCTATAATAGCATTTTTTAAATGCCCATAGTGAACGTAGATTACACCACATTGACTGTGAGAATTGTAATTACTGTTGTCCCCCTGCAGATTATTTTCAAGGTGAGTCTTTATGAGCGATCAAAGATGGGACTCGAGTTAAAACAGGATTTTCAGGAATCGGGAGAGATGAAAAGGAGCTCGGTCTGTCGTTCAGATGTGCTTCCATTAATTCTTCATGGAAAGACACTGTGTCCTCTTCCTGTGTCAGTCTCTTTTTTACTTTGAGACAAACTCATTCAAAAGTCAGTGATTAATTATTTACCGAGGCAATGAAATGCCAACGCCTCATGAAGCACACCACCAGGAGAGAAAAGGTCACTCCCATCCTGCGCACAGATACGCTTTCCTCAAAACACACACACACACACAAACAACCGTGATGAATGGCAATGACGTGTTTATCTGAGCTTCAGGCAGACGCAGCTTCATCCTCATCATCAACCACAGTCGAGGGCAGAGCAAAAACTTGACTGATGAGGCAAAATCTGCGTGACGGCTCAGAAAGATCTTTTCTTTAAAGTTGATTGTCGTGGGAGAGGTGGTGACCTCCGATCAGTAACGCTCCTCGAGTCTGAAGCTATTACTGGATGAACAAAAATAAACACAGTGTGTGAGGTTCAGAGCTGTAGTTTGTGTCTGATTCAAATTAAACAACTTTGTTTGTGTCTTCACAGCGTAACGACACGACTGGCCAAATGGGGTGCCAATGCTGCCGCATGGTAAAAAGGTGAGAAGGAATTTACTCCTTTAGTTATTTTATTACTATTCCAATAATCCTTCTAAATGTTTTGACAAGTGCAAAGTCACTGAAACATTACCCTCCATTAATGGGACCAGACATTTTCCAACTAATTGTGTGTAATTTGTTAATTAACACTTCTCAGGCCAGGCAGGATGAGCTCCCAGGTCGGACATTGTAACTGTTTGTTTGTCAATTACTGTCCTGTAAACAAACAAGGAAAAACTTCTAAAAAAAGAAAACAAGATAAGGTATCACACTTTGAAGAATTATTTAACCACAGTTTCCATAAATTATTTACAGCAGGCAAAAAAATTGTCTGCATTTAAAATACCTTACCTATTAGACAGATCTAGTTGGCAGGCTGCAGACTGACGAAGTCCTCTGGATGGGGGACGAAACATTTCTCACTTAAAGAAACTGGTCCAGATGACATGAATCAACATTTTTTGTTATTATCTACCCGGATGATTGAGCTTACAAACCTTTTTTTTGTGTGTGTTTCTGTGTCTGTCTGTCAGTAAAATATCTTGGCCGTTGGATGGGTTTTAATGAAACTGTTTACAACTGAATAGCTTTTAGTTCAACCTTAGCATTTACAATAGGGTCATAACCCAGTCAATATTACAGATGCTGAGCTCAGCTTTAGTGTGGTAGTGGTTGAGGGTCATCCCTAACATATACTCACGAGTCCAAAAACATAACACAAGATTTTTGTTTAAAACTTTTGCATGAAGGGTAAAAAAGTCTTAATCAGAAAGTTCTCTTGTTATTTAGAATAACAGACAATCTCATTACGTTTTCCTTGTGGAAAATTTACAAATTTACCAAGTTTCATGTCAAAAATCATGGGATCACATGAGTATGTTGCTAAATTACACAGGAAGTGTTTTCCTTTCGTTTTACATGTTTCATCATGTGAAGTTCATATGTTATAATTAAACGCCCGTTGGAAGGCAGATGTATTATGGTATGGTCTCCGCCCCTACATTCATACGGCTGTAGACTTTCTCTTGTTCGGGCCATCACTTCTGAGCTGCTCAAGATAGTTTTAACAAAACTTTATACGCATTTCCAGTGTTTCCCCTACCAATATACAAGCGGGGCGCCCCGCCCCGTCAACAGAACTGAACGCCCAGTCTACCAAACACTCCTCACCCCCCCCCCCATTGACAAATGTCAGTATTGCTGTAGCGTGGGGCACAATACAATCGCGCTAGCAAAAATGCTACTGATGTACGGGTCCGCTCCGCATCTCCCCCCCCCATCAATTATAACTGGCAGCAACGTAGCGTTAAGCTAGCCGGCGGGTAACATGGGCATGACTCTGTCTCTCTCCCCCCCCCACACACACACACACACACACACACAAATAAAATGTGACGAACGCCCCGCCAAGGGAACTGATCTAGGGGAAACACTGATATCACATCACTAGACGCCATGTCGTGACACTTTTCCTCTCCCCAGCTTCAAGGTCACAAATCAAGGTCAAAGTTAAACCAAGGTCTTAACTTGTTTGGACCATAATTTAACCTTTTCATCACGCCAGCTTCAACGTGAAGATCACAAACCAAGGTCAAAGGTTTACAAGGTCTACATGTCCAGGCCATTGCTATATATATTGTTATATTGCAGTATAATAGTTTGTCGGTGGGCGTACAACGTGCCGTATGCAGTACTCTTGTTTCTGTAAGGGTTACTATAGGCCTAAAACATTTTTACTATCCTTTGATGTTCAGTTACTTTTTTTACAGTGAAAGTTCTGGAAGAAGTCGAGCTTATTTTTTGCAGCTATGTTAAAGCTAATTGAATCAGAGGCAACTGGACTTGTTGTAAATTTACTGCATGCTGCTATTAAAAGTGCATGTTAACGTATCAGTCCACCTCATCAACAGCAATAACTTACAAGTCTGTCAGCAGTTGAATAAACTTTTTTCCATTTTATGTGTGCCTTGAACGCATCGCAATACGTTTATCTTCCATCTTAGCAATGTCCACCTATTCGTCAGCCTCTCCCCGATGCCTTTCTTCTGTTCGGCACTCAAAAGACTTCTGAGGCCACATAATGACTTCTTGTCTTGTCTCATGCAGATGGTGAGAGGTCCGTTTAGAAAACGTCTGCGCCGTGAGCCTCACATGGGCTTTTAGTACAAACGCTGAGTCAATATGTCAATAGCCAGCACCCTTGGTTACTGTATTTCTTCGCAGGACTGTCTACTCATTAAAAGTATACAATACTCTGCTGTCAGGGCTCGACATCGCTGTACTTTTTGAGACTGAGCAGGGAACGATACTCTGATTGGAGGATAATGAAAGGGCTCCATGTGCTTCACATACCAGTGCTGTAATCCCTCTTCATACTTTTTTTTTTTCCATGTGGAGTTCACACACGTGAGTTCTTGTGACACAAACGCATAACTCGCTAATTGTCTAAAAGTGTCACATTTCTAGGATTAGCAGAGTTTGAGGTATTGAGGTTACTGGGTCGTCACTATAGGACCCACCAGCACTGACACTCAAGTCAAACCGAAAATATTCACTGGTGCTGCTCCGACGACATTATAAAAGAAAGGATGGTTTAGATTGTTGTTTATGGATTTTTGTAGTTATCAGCAGTCAGTATCCTACCTGCAGTAGATAATGGAAAGTCTGGGAGAAATTATCATTGAGGTCAAGCTAACCGCTAGTTAGACTAACATGCCAGGCATTTCTTGATTATATATCGCCCGTCGCCTTTCATCCCAACGTTTTGAATAAAGAGCTCTCCCAGTCTGTTAGCACTCAGACTCAGTGTCGGGGAGGACTCTCAGCTACAATCACACCGAAATTTAGCTCAGTAGCTGTAAATTTGACTAAATTATAGCCATTAACACCAGTTGGTTGTGGCTGCCGTCTTGCACTGGATGGATTCCAAAACCTAATATACATCCAGTGAATACATTCTGAGATTCTTAGTGATTTCTCAGTGATTCGTGAGAAATTTTGCTAACAGACGGGTTTTTTCCCCAACAGTTAATGCCAAAGTTATGAACAATGAATTTAGCTCAATCAGTTAGCACTTAGAATGTGTGTTAGGGAGGAATGTCAGCTACTACCACGCCAAATGTTAGCTCCATGTCTGCTAAACCAACTGAGTTGTAGCCATTTTGGTGTTTGCTAAGGCAGATTAGATATGGCAGCCATCTTGAATCAGAATAACTCCAAAAGTTGTAAATGTATATCAGATGATCACTTTCTATGAGTTTCATTAAAATCCTTCCTACGATTTGTGAGATATTTTGTTAAAAGACAAAGTCTTGCTTAAAGTTGTAGTTCAGAACTTTTAATGTAAGGTTTTGTGCAAAAGTTATAAATAATCAGCATCTTACCTGTGGTAGACGCTGCTTTGAAACAACCTCAGTTTGGTTAAACAGAGTTTAGTTCTGACCAGACTGACGAGCTAATGGCTAGTTTGAATTGGACTTGGACCAAAGTACATTGCTGCCGTTTTAAAATAATCTAAAACATTTATAGCAGTTTATGCAAAGAATATTTCATAAACTTAAATTTAACACCATGAGCTTTGATGCTAGAAGCTGCAAGCTGGGTTTTTTTCTGCATTTCATAATATTTCTACTGGAACCTCCTTGTAATGTGAAACAGACAGCAACGTCAAGATGTTTTAAATATCAACTGACTGAACAGTTAAAGGTTTTGGAGATTTGAGTCATTTTAACTCGGCAAAAATCCACTTTATACTTAGCGCCTCAGTTTCATCAGAAATATATTTTTGTTCATACTGAGGTCATAGAGCTATGTACAACAGGTAAGATATTATTTGTTAATAAACTTTCCATAGAGCCTTACCTTAAAAGATCTGGTTGATCCAGTAATTAGGGGTTGAATAAACTAGTCGATTCTAGGACGTCTCGCGAATTTTAAAATGTCACGTCGTCTAGTCGCAGTCGGTGGTTGTCACGTCATCGGCTCTGGGCCGCTGGGCGGCAAAACGGATTCTTCCAAGTAGATGGAAGGAGAGGAGCAGGCCAAGTCTCCCCAAACAGGTAGAAATTCATCAACAGTGTGGAAGAATTTCAGAAAAGATGTTTTTAGTTTCATTTTATTTAATCCACTAAATAAAATAAAAATAAAAACAGGTGCACTTCACCAGCGAATCCACCACTGCGCACCTGACCATGTGTGTTGCTGTACACACCGCTGGTGTGCACCACGCACCACCGCTGGTGTGCACCACGCACCACCGCCAGTGGAGAATCCACCACCGCTGCAGTGGTTTGTTTAATTTAGTGGATTAAATATAATTTTTGCAGCTTAATAATAGTTTTGGTTTTCCTGTGACTTATTTGCAGTATGATAAATGGTAGGAGCATGAATAAATATATGCTCCCCATGTTTTGTTGCTGTTGTTGGTTTTTTTTTGTGGTAAATAATAAATGCTTTTTTGTTTTGTTTTTAAGTGTCTTGAGTTCCTATGACATCATCAGCTAGTCAATGTCGACTCAACTATTATCACGTTAATGTCAACCTTTTAAAATATGTAGTCGTTCAACCCCCACCAGTAACACATGGGTGTGTATTTAGGCTGAGAACTGTCCACATGGGGGCTTTGGGCTGTTCACTCTGATTGGCTGAAAATGTCTAATGAATAATATCAACAGAAAATTTAATCTAAAATAACGTTACACAGGGGCAGCGCGGTGGTGAAGTTGGTAGAGCTGCTGCCTCTCGGCGAGAAGGTCACTGGATCGAATCCTCGTCCGGGGCCTTTCTGGGTGGAGTTTGCATGTTCTCTCCGTGCATGCGTGTGTTTTCTCCGGGTGCTCCGGTTTCCTCCCACAGACCAAAAACATGCATGTTAGACTGATTGGTAACTCTAAATTGTCTCTGGGTGTGAGTGAGAGACTGAATGGTTGTTTGTCTCTATGTGTCCCTGTGATGGACTGGAGACCTGTCCAGGGTGTCCCCCGCCTCTCACACAGTGACTGCTGGATATGGGCACCAGTGACCCCCACAACCAGAAAAAGAAGAAGTGGGCAAAAGTTAATGGATGGACTTTACATAGAAGTGAATCTTTCCCTGGATTGAAAATACTTTATTTTACGTTCTGTTTGTTCACGTTTGGCAGAAAACAGAACCAGAGAATTGCTGTGACCGGTCGTCTATTTCTTCGGCTCTTTGAGAATTGCTTGAAGATGAAACGGACGGCCTCCTGTTGCTGATGAAAATACACTTTCACTCTCCCACTAAGCTTTAGTCCAGCTCTGAGAAATATTGCTGTTTTCTTTCCTTCGTTGTCGCCTTGCTTTTCTAAAGTGATCTTCAGATTTCACCTTGACAGTGAGGATGCAGCAGCCTTGCTGCCCATGAGCTAAAGGAACAAGAAATTCATTTTCTCAGCTCTCCTCTGTGAAAAACAGGCAGACAGAAAGAGGCGTTTAGGTCAGAGGGTGCATCTGTGTGGGCTGCTTACATTTTCCTGTGTCTGCTTTCTGAGAGCAGAGTCAGTCGATACGTTTGAAAGTCATCCTCTTTATTTTGGGAACTTGTGTTCTTGTTAAGACACCAATGAGGAGCAGCTGGATCTCAGTGATGCTGACAGAGACACAACGAGAGGTGGGAGATGGAAAGAGCTCCATTTGGGTCATGAACAGATAAAACAAGAGACGCTCTCAGCCAGTGATGTCTGACAGCCTCCTCCACAAAAAAAAAGCCCCCCTACTCAGACTTTGTAACATCTAAGAGTGTGTGAAAAGGATTTAACTTCTGCCCTTAAAGAAAATCCTACAAAGTGAGGTATTAGAGAGCCATTAAGGGTTTCCTTAAAGGTGTAGGAGCTGAATGAATGCTAATTATTTAAACTGGTATTGCTATGTGGTGTTCTACAGAGTGAGCAGTCAGGACAACCAAAGAGTTTTATAAAGTAGCTTTTTACACCAACAACTTCAAACTTTTGCAGTCAACTCAGTTGAAGATGAGCACCAGGATTATAAGTGGCGCCGCTCACCCCTGAACTCCATGTTGGGATACTTTTGGTGACTTTGACCATTGATGGAGGTCAGAATGAGCTGCTCTCCGTCTTTGTGTATCATATGAAAGCAGATGACAGGGAGCCAAGAGAGGACGTGTATGAGGAAGTCTGTGAGGGTCAGGACATGTGCCGGGACAGGAGGGACAGCGGTGAGATGTGCCGTAAGAGCGACACATGGGATTAGACTGGGGTGGGATTACATAGGGATCAAGTCTAAACCACTTTTGGTTTGCAGCGGTGATGGACTGGTTGACCCCATGAATTATGATGTTTGCAGACAACATTGTGATATGTAGTGTGAAAACCGAACGGGTGGAAGAGAGTCTGAAGATGTGGCGGCATGCTCTGGAGACAAGAGGAATGAACGTCACTAGAAGCAAAGTAGAATACATGACAACAGTGAAGCTTTAAGGTGTACAGTATAGGTGTTGAAGGTGGGGGTGGGGGGTAGTATAGATGCAAGAGTGAAGTGAAAGGAAAAGTTTAAAAGATCTGGAGACCGGCTTTAATGTAAAGTGTGAGGAGGAAGGCAGTGCGTTTATTTATCTGTGATAAATAAATAAAGCTGTGACTTGGCAAACAAAGTGAGGAATCTTTTTAGATGAGGTACTGTTTTTCCAAATTCTTCATGTTAAAAAGCTTCATAACAATACTTAATTTGTTAAAATGACGGAAATTATCACTTGGCCTTGCAACAAACTAGTTCTGTTTACAAGAGTGCTAGTGAGAAGATTCAGTTTTTATTGGTCTAGATCAGAGGTCTGCAACCTTTACGATACTCCATTCACCACATTAACCGTGTCCAGAGCCGCAGTAACCTGTGATTATCAGCTGGTGGCCCGTGGGCCACGTCAGGTTTGTTGGAGGAGACTTGTGGCCAGTAGTGGTGACATTATAAAGCTAAAAAATATCTAAAGATTTTTAACATCATGTATTCTTACAATTTAAGACAAACGAAAAGACCAGATTCTTGTAAAAAAGGGGGGGAGGTAGGTTTTTTTTTTTTTTCCAATTAAATAAAAAAAACTGTGCTGTGCAGATGTGATATTTTTAATTGTAGAAAAAATAAGTATCATATTTTTTGGACTATAACTTAAAATCCTTTAAATTTTCTCAAAAATCGGCACCATTGTAATCCAGTGCGCCTTATGTATTAATTCTGGTTGTGCTTACTGACCTCAAACTGATTTCATGGGGTGCACGGCGCACAAAAATCTGTCAAAATGACCTTGTTTTGCTTAATGCGCCGTATAATCTGGTGCGTTTTATAGTCCGAAAAATACGGTAAGTATAGAAATTAAACAAAACTTTGGGAGTATTTGCAAAAGAAATGACAGGAAAACAGCTAAAACTAGTACTTTTTTGTTGTTTGTATAACAACCAATAAAATTCAGTTTTATGTTTGTTTTGTTCAAAGCTTGAAAGAGCCGTTGCAGAGGAACCAAAGAGCCACATGTGGCCCCAGAGTCACAGATTGCAGACCCCTGGTCTAGACTGATGTCAGGAGTTCCAGCCCTATATTTAAAAAGGGGAATCCCCCTACAATGATGCCTGACATTATAAGAAGGGATTTCCCAGCGCCTCGGCAGCCAGCAGAGATAAAAGTTTGATTTTAAAAGAAATTAAAAAGACAAAGGATTATTTCTGAAGACATACTTGTTAGAAAACTAATCTGCTATTTTAATTACTGGGATCACTAGATGGTGTCTTTATGAACTAATTTTTATGCAAATCACAATATTTTCACCCGTTTTGCGCTGGAACTTGTTCAAAAAACGTTCAATACAAAAACAACTGGACTTTATTTGTAACAGAAGACGTTACAAATAAAGTCCAGTTGTTTTTGTATTGAACGTTTTTTGAATTGATCATGTCCTGGAGGACTGAGAATCTTCACCAGCACACTGCAACTTGTGCTCGTTCTGACTCGTTTGGAAAAAGGATGTTGAATATGGGGCTGCCAGGGAGGAGGAAAAGAAGAAGATAACAGAGGACGTTCATGGATGTTGTGAAAGAGGATAAGCAGAGGGTTGGTGTGACGGAGGAGGATGCTGGGATGGCATAGGTCTGTTCTTACAGACGTCCATATTTAAACCCGTAGTATAGTCTTGAGTTGGGTCGTAAGCATCGAAAAGTTTTATCACGCAAAATTTTACCTTTTAAATTACCGTACTTGCCGCCGTACACGTCGCACTGCCGTATAAGTTGCATCAGCCCAAATATGTCTTATGAAGTGGAAAAAAACATAAATATGTCGCTTCGCTGTATAAGTCGCATCTATTATGCGTCACCGCTGACCACCCGGAAATGTGGGCGGGAGCGCGCAGAGGGAGGACTCGCGGTACATTGCTTCGAAATTTAACAAGCTAGCCACCTAAAAACAATTATTTGTTTACTTGACTTTATAGTAAAGTGTCAGTTTAACTTAATAAATGCACTTTAATGGTCACATCAGGTGAAATGAAGCTGATTTCACATTTGCTTTGGGAGTTCCAGAGTGAGACGAAGGTGCCTTGTATGGCAAGCCAAGTGTCTCATTAATAGCCACTTTTACCTATTAATGAGACACTTGGCTTGCCGTATAACTCGAGGGCCCTCTAGTGGCTGAAAATGGTAGTGCTCAATGTTTTCCATGTCAGAATGAATGAAATTGTCAGATCTCAGTCAAACATTGCGTTATAAATATAGGGGGAAAATTAACAAGTTGCTTCACTGTTTGCTAATTTATGCAAAAAAGTGTGACTTATACAGCAAAAAATATGGTACTATAACTGGATTGAGACAACAACTTGGCTTGATGAAGCAAGTGATGTGTTTCTACCCAGTCTTTGTCAACGACCAGCCTTTATTTGTGCCCGCCACTAGTTTGTCATCACTGAAACAACTGTGTTCCCACCAATTGAAAAATTGTTATTGTTCCATTTGTTATCAGTTTGTGTCTTTTTATCCCTCACAGCTACATCTATGACCCGTCTGTGGCGGTGGATGTACGAAAAACCGACTCAACGAGCAGCTCCCTCTACCAATCCAACCACCGCACGGGCGGGGCCCCCAATCAAGACCCTCGCAGCGGCAACAATAAGCAGAAGCACGGCATCCACAACCTGGGTTACAGCGACAGCACCCTCAAACTGGAGTTTGACAACAACCATGTCAACCACAGGCTGCACGCCGTGCCGCCTCTGGCGAAGGAGCTGCACCGGCAAGCAAGCGCACCACCTGCAGAGGGGGGGCTGTACATCATCCAACCAGAAGATGTAGGGCCGCGATGGATCGACATAGGTCCGAGTCAGGTTCCCGTTTACCCCAAGATAGAGGTGCTGGAGAATCAGAGGAGCTCTAGCGAGCAGGAACACGGGACCACGAGGAACGGGTGGCACAAGACTGAAGGTCAAAGGCAGTCAGTGGACGAAACAGACGAGGGAGTGGGAGGGACGCCAGAGTACCTGTGCGACACTGGTGACGAAGGTAGCATCTTATCTGTGGACATTCACACCAGCACAACCAGCTTGTCCTCGGGGGGCACGAGGGACGGACTCACACCGAATAAGACTCCAGACATTTCTACTGAGGAGAGCGGGATCTCTGTGACAAAGAGCGAGGAGGACATGGAGGGGAACGACGACGAGGAGGTGCAGAGCGTCACGGACTCTATGGTGGCCGAGGCCCTCGCTGCCTTAGAGGCGGCCACTGCTGGAGAGGATTGTGAGTGACGGACCACAGAGAAACTAGTCAGACTGGGACTTCAGAGAACCTGGACAGAGCATCCAGAACTGCCATGAAACTTTGCCAAAGGTTTGAACAATAAAGTTTTTCTCTTAAGATCCTAAAACGAACGAAGGAAAGCTCCGTTTACGATAAGGAGCAGATTTATTTTTAAACCCGTGAACACTTCTTACTGTGACAGAACATACGGCCGGCCTTGTGAAGGCTGCAACGTTTGGATAGAGCTAGAACTGAGCAGACCGAGTCCTGTTCTTAGTGTATTTAACACTTGGCAGTCCTAAATAATCCTGGATGTGCTCAGTCACTGTTTTGACGTGCACATGTGACCTTTTAGTACTACAAGACGGGGGGGGGGGGGGGGGTGTATCACTAAAGTCAACATTTCCAGAGTAAAGACAGTTCATGCTTCTCGTGTTTTTAAGTCTCCCATTTCACCAAGCAAATACAACGGGAAAGGTTATACAATTATTTTTACACACGTAACCGTCTTATTCCTAATTTTTTGTTATTTATAAAGTTTTAAGATTTAGTTTGATTTAGAGACCGTCTTTAAAGATCACAAAAGAGCAGGGGCATGCAGTCGGTTTGTGTTCATAGAGTTGCACTTGTTTGTTCTCACTGATTCTTAGATTAAAGCAATGAATGTTGACTCAATCTGCAGGTTTAGGGAAAATAATGGACGTGTTATTTTTTTACCAACAATTTCTATGCACATAATGATTGTTTTTATTTGTTTATGCTGAAATATACCTGTGGTTGTTACTGACCATACCTTTGTTTTTTGAGCAGCATAAATTTAGCAAGCCAAGTAAAGGTCGATCTCTGCACACTAAACCACTCTGGAGCCAATCCATACTGGTTGTTCTGTTTGTTTTGCAGGTCAAGCTTCTAGTTTCTAGTCTGGCCTAAGATAAAAGTCCAACTCATGTGCCTAATAACAAACTGAGGCTGAAGAAACGGTTATAAAGACGTTTAAGAATGATAACAAAATGGTTTCTTTTATGAAATTCTGAAATGTTTCATTGAGAAATCCATTTTTGCTAAAAAAAAAAACTGCCAATCATTTCTATTTCTTGTGTATATATATATATAAAAAAAATGGAAGTACAATAAACTGTAAACAAAAAGATGCGTGTGACTATTCTTACATTCAGTGTATATTTTTAAAAAAAAGATCAGTTTCAACAGGCTGGCAAGACAGTTAACCTGCTAATGAATTAGCTAGTTAGCGATGGGAAGACTGGTGGTAAAACAACACGGATAATGTTCACAATGGTTTGGATATGTGTTAAAAGCCCAAGATGCTTGTATTTTTTTCATTAACATCTGTCATATGTAGTTTATATGATATTTATCTCGAGTAAGTTCTTGTTAGCATTGTAAGTTAAAACAGGAATCCACCGGACCGGAGGGACAATGGCACTGGTACGAGTAGACGACACAAGGATTGCCGGAAACCCCTAAAGTCCCAGATCTCAGACAGACAGCATGAGCAATGACCACCACCTCTGCTTGTGTTCATGTTAACTTTATGAAAGATGACGTACTCGAGGCCAGAATTAACTTTGAACGTATTGAAGGATACAATAACACACAGCTCTGGAGCTCACTACAATGCAGGGGACGAGCGGTGTCCGGCAACCGCGCCAAGTTGATAAGAAGGTACAGTATGTGTGGCGACCCCAGCCTCAAAAACTAACGGCAGTAATTGTACTGAAGTTCCACTTGTGTGAGATCCGGTTACTTACTGACGTCACACATCGCAGAGATCGGTGTTTTTGGGAACTGGGACCAGCACTATTGTTGCCTTAGCTTAGTGCTTCTCAATTATTTTCTGTTACGTCCCCACTAGGAAGATATAAATATCCCCCCCCCCCCCCCCCCAAGTCTCCGCCGCGACTAAATAGTATTTGTCTATAAATTTGTTATAAGTACACCTCTGCATAACACCGTCCTTATTAGCATTAAAGAAGAAAAAAAAATAGATCAACTTACAGCGAAGAATAACTTTATTAACATTGTTTTTTAGTCTGTAACAGAAACAACTTAAATTTGCCTGAAAAAGAAAAAAAATCCTTATTTAAACTAAAAATTTTTGACCATTTGATACTGAAAAATAAAATATAATCAATAAATAATGAATTCAAATTATCAGCAACATTTTAACTCAGGAGTGTTATATAAAACACTTGGTCCTAAAAAAATGAATAAAACAATTTGTGCTGATTTTTTTTTTAAATCAAAATGAGCAAGTCTGGGATCAATGAGCACACTCATCGATAAAACTAAAACATTTTGTCTACGCGAAATAGGATTGTTGCATGCGAGCTGTGAGCGACATCCGGAGCGCATGGACATAAAACACGTGCAGCGGAGGTGTCGGAGTTATTTATTCATCGTCTCAGCCGCAGAGGGGAGCGACTCGGTTCAAGCATGGCTCCCAAAAACACAGTTATGTGTTCATAACTTTATTATTAGTAAGTCTGAGAGATACGAGCAAACAGCTGCCGGAACGCACGCGACAAAATAAGAACGGTGAAAAAAAAACTACTCCATGCGGCAAAAAAAGTATGTTCCCATGCGCCCCACTCTTTGAGAAGGACTGCCCTAGCTAACAAGGCTAATACAACTGTATGACGTTGTTGTTTGCTAAGCTAACTCTGTTGTATTAGAATTGTAAGCTAACAACAACAATTGTTCCTAAAAGGAAATATCCGGTGTTTCCCTGCAGTGAATACAACCCACTGAACGGACTATTGGTCTGTTAGCTGACAATTCTGTTCTTAACTGTGTTAGCATTGTTAGCTAACACTGGAGGAACAATTGTGTCAGCTATCGATGCTAACACTGTTGCGTGGATTTGTATTAACAATGCAAACTAACAGAGTAACTCACTGAGGAGGAAATGTGTTAAGTATATGAAACACATCTGGTTGGTGTGTTAGCCTATAGTGCTAACACAAGTGTATTGTAAGCATTGATAAATTAACAATTGCTAACGGGTTTTTTGTCATTCAGATAAGACTAGAGCAAAAATTTAAACAGCATTCTAATGTAGTCTATTGATTGCGAAAAGTAAATTCTGTACTTTTTAACAAATACTGAGTTGTAAAATCTCTTTCTCCTTCTAGTCCAGGGGTGCCCAATATGGCGATGGCGCGCTACCGGTAGATCGAAGGTAATATCAGTAGATCGCACGGCGAAATAGATGTCAGACCTTTTTTTTAACGTCTTCTTTTTTTTTTTAAAGACGTCCGCCGATCAATCCAGCTTCGTTATGCAAATAGTCACTTGATTGATGTTCAGGTTAGCCAATCTAAGACCAACCTTTTCTGACACATAGGTCACCACGCATGCGTGTTCAACTGTGCTAAAGAAAACGAGTTGACTCGTAATAGCCTCCAGTTTATATCTAAACTCAAGATAGTGTGTAAAAGGAGTTGGGAGCTGGACCAAGTAAGAAGCAAAATACCATTTCCATACGGAATGGGGGGGAGGACTTTTTTTTTTTCACGATGTCATATTCGAAGTGCGTTTCACCGGAGCGACATATTCGGACTATCATCTACGTTACTGACTTCCTTCTGAAAAGCGAGCTGAGAAAGAAAACAGTGAAGGAACTAAAATCCCAGTTATCTGGACAGCAGTTATTTTTCCTACAGCTGACCACAGCAGCGAAGCATCAGTCCGGGTGAGTCACTTTAATAATTGTTAAGCACAAGAAGTCTTTTCAAGACGGAGAGATGGTAAAAGAGTTATTCGTTGAAGCAGCTGACTCGTTGTTTAGGGATGCACCGATCCACGTTTTTCACTTCCGATACCGATATCTGATGTTTCGTTTCTATGATGCCGATCCGATACCGATCTGATACCCAAAAAAAACTGCGCTGAATTAACAAAAAAGGCAAAATCATGTCATCTGGACCCGTTACTGAAACAGGTCCAGATGACGATTTAGCCATTTTTGTTGTTGTCTACCTGGATACCATACCATTTTATTTATAGAGCACTTAAAACAGCAACAAGGCCAACCAAAGTGCTGTACAGACAGAACAACAGGTAACACACAAAGCAAAATACAAAATGAAGTAAATTAGAAATATAGACATAAAAAACGATGCAGATAATGACGACTAACCAGTGTGGAGCATACAGGTTCAAAACACAGATCATCTGGTGTTGAAAGCTACCGAATAGTAGTGGGTTTTTAAACGGGACTTGAAAACCGAGAGGGAGGGGGCCTGTCTGACAAGCAGAGGTAACTCATTCCAAAGTCTTGGTCCTGCTACAGAGAAGGCCCTGTCCCCTCTGCGCTTAAGACGAGTTCCTGGAACTGTGAGGAGGAACTGGTCCGCTGACCTCAGGGAACGTGGTGGGACATACGGTTGTAGCAGATCAGAGAGATGGGTGGGGGGGGGGGTGAAACTGTTCAGTGATTTGTAGACCTGGATGATTGAGCTTACAAACCCAGTGCTGAATTGACTTAAAACTCCATTTTAAAAACAACCTGCAGCAAGTTAGCTAGCGCGTGACGTCACTCAGAGCACAAAGCATAGAATTAAGAGCGAATAGATCTGCCCAGTCATGGATCGGTTACATTGTCACCGATACCTGATCCAGAAGTTTTTCCCGATATCGGGACTGATACAGATATTGGTATCGGATCGTGCATTTCTATGTTGTTCAGAGACTTTAAAAATAAACCAGAAATAGTATCTTCATCAAAGCTCTCAGGTATCAAGAATATACTGTCACCTTTTTTTTTAAAACAAACTTTTGGGTTTTGTCATTTATGTTGCGTCCACAATGAGCTGGAACGTATTCATTCATTCATTCAACCTTTATTTATCCAAGTTAGTCTCATTGAGTCACGAGGATTCATTTACAAGAGAGACCAGGTTTAGACAGACAACAATAAACTACAGTAAAATGCAATTTAAAAAAAGTAGTGATATAAAACAATAAATCAAGGTGCTATATAAAACATGGTAAAATACTAAAAACAAGAATGTAAAACCTAAAAAGCATACTTAATATGTTTATGAATAAGTATATGTTTTGTATTTTTATAGTAGGCAGATCACTTGGACTTGGTCATTTTAAAAGTATCTCGCTCGCATGCTGAAAAAGTGTGGGCACCCCTGTTCTAGTCATGTCACTTTTTGTCACATCATGCAGCATGTCAAAATAATATATATATATTAAA